GTATGTCATGGTCGCGATCTTCCCCCCACCGTTGTAAATAGTTTGGCGCCTTGTGTTTGGTGATGTAAATAAATGTCGTATCTTGCTTTAAATCTTGTCTTGGGATTATTTTTGTGGAAGTTGCATGCCGGTTGCCTAGGCCGGGGTGTAACACAGAGTTTGAGGGAAGAAAACTTTATTGAAACTTCAGCTTTTTTTTGTGTCGGCAGGAAGTTGGCGAAGAAGAGGAAGGAAACTCTGAGCTCCAGACAGGAAATGACCCTGATGGTGAACAACTCCCAGCACACCACCATGGTGGACACGCATGTGCACACGCTGAACGGACGCAGTGAGTACATGCACGCGACGCACACAAATGCTATCCCTAATCCTATCTCTGACAAGCGGGTGAGACAAAGACTCGGTGACCGAGTCGCTCACCCACAGGTTGCACAGACGACGCAGACTAATCTGCAAACGCTCCCCGAGTCGAGACATTTTCTTTCAAAGAAAGATCATTTCGCTGATAATTCATGACGTGATAATCCCGTATCTAAACGATAGCAGTGAGTCGAGGGAGGAGCTCAGGCTGTGGTGTGGTCGGTCATTCCATGACTTCGTGTTCTGACTCGGTTTCCACGGTAACAGTGAAATCCTATGTTTTTGCTGCATGGCTTAGGACGCCGACCAACCTGAAAGAAGACAAGCTCAAACCCAAGCAGGTGGCGTCCTCGTCCTTCCTGCCGTGAGCTGAAGGAGGCGATGTTTTATCGCAGCGTAGCGGCCGTCAGAGGGCAAGGCGGCACTCTTCCCCCCAGGCTCCTCTGCTCGCCGTCTTCCTCTTTATTCTGGAGCACAGCATGCAGCTGCGAGCGCCTCCCTGGAGGAGACGATTTAAATTAAGCACAGACATCAAACACCACAGGCCCTGAAACCATGTCAGCTTACAGGAGCCTCTGATTTAATTTAACCATGAGAGTCTCAGGCGTGTAGCTGCGGCCGAAAACAAGAAGATCAGTCAAACGTCATCTTTGGATCAGTCAGTAGACGACAACAAGGGAAGAGCTGCTCACAACAAACCAGGCTAACAGACCTCTCCTCCAGCATCATTCTGGTTATTAAGTAAAGCTAAAACTACAAATCAGTGTAACTGAAATAAAAAGTTATGCTCTTTATTGATCTGCTCAAATCTTCCAGACCAAAGATCCAGTGAAGGTTTTGGTCCATCTGTGTGCTCAGACTGAGACAGCTGAAAGTCTGTGGCTTTACGACCACAAACAGAAGACTGTCTGAAACTGAAATCATCTAATACAATCAGAAAAGATTCAAGTGACAATAAAAAATTATAAAAGAAATGCTGCAAATCTCTAGTAACTCTGACTTTTATTAAAATAGAAACCCAGTGTTCATTAAACAGCTGAGCAACAATTTCAAATCATGGGTCAAACTCCAGGTACAAGTAATTCATAAAGGAGTACTGAGGATTACAGCTTGGTCTCTGCAAACAGTCCTAATGCCCTTCTAACATACTGCTAACATGCTAATGCCGTGCTAAGCTGTTGTTAAACTGCTGCTAATGCAATGCTAAGCTGTTGCTAAACTGCTGCTAATGCGATGCTAACATACTGCTAACCAGCTGCTAACGTGCTGCTAATGCCATGCTAACATACTGCTAACGTGCTGCTAATGCCCTGCTAATGTGCTGCTAATGCCATGCTAGCATGCTGCTAATGCCCTGCTAGCATGCTGCTAATGCCATGCTAACGTACTGCTAACATGCTGCTGGTGTGCTGCTAACATAAATGAAGCAATAATTAACCATCGCTGAGACTTTCCTTATGAAGTTGCAGGCAGGGCGATGGGTGAATCAGTGACTGTAAAATGGAAGAAGCAGGAAACTTTAAGGCTGCGTTTCTGTTTCCTCTATGCAGCTGTTTCATCTCCGTCCTCCTTCACCCTGAAGACAAACACCATCAGCACCTCCGTAGCAAACTCCTACTACCCAGGTAAAAACACTGAGATGCCTCCTGTTGACATAAGAACTGCTGTCAATGTTTTCATTTGTAAAAGGAGGCAGACTGTCTCAGACTGTCTCAGATGTGCAGCAGGGACCAGTGTCCACCAGATGCATGAAGATCGATGCTGAACAAGCAAACAGTCACTGCAGGCACTTACTGCACACCAGCAACAGTTCTTTGATAAGTCTCAGAGACACGTCTTCCACTGTCGGCTGTTTTTACACTGCTTCATCTGCATGAGCCTCCACCTAGGGCTGCTCAATTAATTGAATTTTAATCACGATTACGATCTGGGCTTTCAATGATCATTAAAAATGACTGAGCCGATTATTAGCCCCTCCCTCGTGCTTTACTCTCGCGCTGCTCCGTGTGGCAAATCAAGCGCACCTCTCTGCATTTCGAACACACATCACAACAATTAAGAGGACCTAAGGGAAGCTCGGAAAGCTAAGCAGAAGTTATTTGGAGAGGAGAGTGACTGCCGTTGGTTGAAAAGAGAGGTAAAAAAAAAACTTCAGTGGTGTGGAAACATGGATTCGCGGAGTCAGACGTGGATCAAGTAGACATAGTGTGTAAACTTTGCTACGGTGTCATAGCTGCACCACAGAGCAACACTGCAAAGTTCACTAAACATAGATGTTTACAGTTTTCATTTATTTTTTATATTGCAAACATTTGCACTGTTCAGTATTTGCACACTATTTTATATTATTTTTTAAAGTCAGTATTCAATACATTGTTATTGTTAACGCTTTAAATCCCTGTAGAACCGGAACCATGTAAGCTAGCGCAATAATTTGTTTTGCATATGAAACCAGAGGAGTTGTACTTACATCTTATGTCATCAGCTTGTCCTAGGTCACGGTTTCCTTCCACATATAGCTTTGCAAAAATTGCATAAAAAGCGCTTGCAGGAACAAAAACATAATATTCCAGAAACACGCTTTGCCGATCCGATCAGCTGTTCGTAACACTTCCCACATTGAAAAAGAGTCAACTCGAACTATAGCATGTCCGCCAGTTCCTGTCCGAAACCGGAAGTGACGCCATTTTCGTGGAAAATGTAGTTTTTTACTTGTAGGCCTTAAAAGCCTATACTGGTGTTTTTATAAGTCATGTTTGACTATACTTTTCTGAATAGTTTCTGGGATGCTTAGAACTCGAATTGCACTGCTGGAAATAGTTTATTTTGATGCACCTGCTGTTTTCTTTGCAAATTTGCATCATAGGATTGTTTTTTTGTTTTTCCTGCAGTATATAAAAATTGCTGTATCTCCAAATTAAAACTATGAAGACACTCAAAATAAATTCCCTGTTGTTGTAAACTATTTTTTGCAACTTTTTTGTATTTGAAGTTTTGAGGGATAAGCCTCTTAAATTTCCCCAAGTAGAAATATATGTAAAAAAAAAAACCAAAAAACGATTTTCAAGTTTTTTGTAGTTTATTGCACTTTTTTGCAATGAATGTAGTTACTATGGACTTAATGCATAAATATTATTAAAATATGGGCTATAACAGTTGTATTGATGTATAGCAACTTGAAATGCTCCCACAAATGGCACTACAACATGTAAAAAAAATAATATAAGCTCTGGCGGACTTGGTTCTATGGTAGGTCTTAAAGGGTTAAATAAATATCGTCAAATAATCGAGATCTCAATTTCAGTGAAAATAATCGTGATTATCATTTTTACCATAATCGAGCAGCCCTACCTCAACCTGCTGGTTCCTCTCCTTACACCTGTACACAAAAATGCCACACAGATTCTCAGAGGCATTTGGACGACGATCAGTCCCTGTGTGCTAATATTAGCATTCCCCAGATATCCAGCCAACAACACTAACATTTAGATTGACAATAATTCATTACAATAGTGGGGATTCATTACAGTAGATGTCTTTCTCAGCTCAATGTAACTAAATTAAATGATGCAGTTCCTCCACTCTTACCTTCTTCAAAGCCTTGTGCCAACACACTGCAGAACAGCTACCTAACGCTACTCCTACAGATGTGACTCATCTTGTTAATAGTGTTATGGCTTCATTGGGTACAACTCTGGATACTGTAGCTCCTATGAAAAAGAAAACTTCACTCCCTAGTATACCTCAGATAATTCAATTCAATTTTATCTGATATGCACATAACTCGTAAGCTAAACATGTTCTGAAAAGTTTATCCGATGCTGGGTCTCAGGGCCAGCAGCCAAAGAAGAGAAGGCCAGACCTCGCTCTCCCCAGCCACCTCCTTATCTGGGGAACACAGAAGCCAGCCAAGAGACGCAATCTCTCCAGAGTAGCCTGGGTCTGCCCCGGGGCCTTTTCTCGGTAGCAAAAATCCAGAACACCAGGAGGCGCCGAGGAGGCATCCTAGTCAGATGCCCGAACCACCTTAACTGGCTCCTTTAAATCTAGAGTAGTGGCTCTACTCTGAGCTCCTCCTGGATGGCTGAGCCCATCTCTATCTCTAAGGGAAAGGCCAGCCAACCTCTGGAGAAAGATCATTTCCACTTGCATTAGCGACCTCATTCTTTCAGTCACTACCCAAAGCTTGTTACCATTGGTAAGGGTTGGAACGTAGATCCACCAGAAACACTCGGCTTTTAAGCTTAGCTCTCTCTTTACCATGATGGACTGGTACAGCTCAGTCCTGCAGCTCCCCTCACTCGTGAACAAGAACCTGAGATACTTAAACTCCTCCTCCCTGACCCGGAGCAGGCACTCCACCCTTTTCCAGCTGAGGACCATGGCCTCAGACTTGGAGGTGCTGATTTTCAGTGTGAGCTGGAGGCCACCACCTGATGAAGACAACAGAGCCCCCATCATCTGCAAAAAGCAGTGACAAGATTCTGACTCCACCCGAGTAGAAGTAGTTTGGCTACACCCGGATATTTTGTCAAAAAAAATCGATGACCGAGCTGACAATGTGGACCAAGCTCTTTCTTGTATAAGGACCAAATAGCTCATTGCAGTGGGCCAGACACCCCATACTCCGAAGTGCCTCACAAAGCATACTCAGAGGACTTCTCCAAGTCCACAAAATGCATGTAGACTGTGGGCACACACCCTTAAATACCCTTGATAGGCTAAAGAGTAAACCACATATTTATTCTTTCCCCGGGAGGCTGAAGAGTGTCATCCCCCCCCCCTGCAGATATTAAGGGTGTGTAACTATTGCACAGTACACACTACAGTAGTTAGGAGTTGTACAAAGTAGTTAGGAGTTGTACAAAGATATCCACAGGAAGGAATCATTTCCTGTGTCGTTCAGTGGTGCATTATGGGTAATCTCAGTCTCTCACTGAACATGTGACCCTCAACCTGCTGCCCCAGCATGCAACACTGTAGAGGACAACACTGACCACAGCACCCTCACAGAAAATCCTGAGCATTGTCCGGTAGATGTTGCAGACCTCAACTGCCTTTGAAAACAGAGTCTGGCCCTTCCTTTAGCGTGCACTGGTGTTTTTAACCCAGTCCAGTTAGTGTGTACTCTGAGGTATTTACAAGTCTATCCACCGTCGTCCCTTCCCACCTTATCCAACTTACCACCAAGTTGTAAGTTGCTGCCATTTTCCTTGTAAGTATTTATTACAGGGCGTGTGTAACCTGTTCATGTGTTACGCCCGTCATTGCGTTGTGTTCTGGCGTGAAAGTAAGAGGCAGGAGACAGTACTGGGTCTTTGGCTCTTTACTGCACATCTGCAACACAGAAATATGTGTCTGATCTGTGTGTGTCACGCGACTGCCAGTACACCTCTCCTCCGGCCATGCTAAAAGGAGCTGTGGTCTGCAGCTTCATTAACACTACAATAATATAATAAATCAAATACAACAAATTGTTTTAAAACATTAACTTAAGCTCTCAAAAACAAAAAGCACAAAATAAATAATATGTCACTGAAAAATCATCAAAAACAATTTATAAGAACAATAAACAAAATAATTCAAAAACAAATAAACAGTCAGATAAATACAATTCAATCACCAGGACCCGATATTCTAGTGCTTATAGTTCAAACATTATACTTCAGTACAATTATATTAATAACCGCCATCTAACAGGCAATACAACACTGTACTTATAAAAACAATGAATGAAAGACTGCATCTCCAAAACATAAGAACATCTCCATACCTGCAACACAGAAATACAGTGGGGCAAAAAAATATTTAGTCAGCCACCGATTGTGCAAGTTCCCCCACTTAAAATGATGACAAAGGTCAGTAATTTGCACCAGAGGTACACTTCAACTGTGAGAGACAGAATGTGAAAAAAAAAATCCATGAATTCACATGGTAGGATTTGTAAAGAATTTATTTGTAAATCAGGGTGGAAAATAAGTATTTGGTCACCTCAAACAAGGAAAATCTCTGGCTCTCACAGACCTGTAACGTCTTCTGTAAGAAGCTTTTCTGTCCCCCACTCGTTACCTGTATGAATGGCACCTGTTTGAACTCATCATCTGTATAAAAGACACCTGTCCACAGCCTCAAACAGTCAGACTCCAAACTCCGCCATGGCCAAGACCAAAGAGCTTTCGAAGGACACCAGGAAAAGTATTGTAGACCTGCACCAGACTGGGAAGAGTGAATCTACAATAGGCAAGCAGCTTGGTGTGAAAAAATCAACTGTGGGAGCAATCATCAGAAAATGGAAGACATACAAGACCACTGATAATCTCCCTCGATCTAGGGCTCCACGCAAGATCTCATCCCGTGGGGTCAAAATGATCATGAGAACGGTGAGCAAAGATCCCAGAATCACACGGGGGGACCTGGTGAATGACCTGCAGAGAGCTGGGACCAAAGTAACAAAGGTCACCATCAGTAACACACTACAACGGCAGGGAATCAAATCCCGCAGTGCCAGACGTGTTCCGCTGCTGAAGCCAGTGCATGTCCAGGCCCGTCTGAAGTTTGCCAGAGAGCACATGGATGATACAGCAGAGGATTGGGAGAATGTCATGTGGTCAGATGAAACCAAAGTAGAACTTTTTGGTATAAACTCAACTCGTCGTGTTTGGAGGAAGAAGAATACTGAGTTGCATCCCAAGAACACCATACCTACTGTGAAGCATGGGGGTGGAAACATCATGCTATGGGGCTGTTTTTGTGCCAAGGGGACAGGACGACTGATCCGTGTTAAGGACAGAATGAATGGGGCCATGTATCGTGAGATTTTGAGCCAAAACCTCCTTCCATCAGTGAGAACTTTGAAGATGAAACGAGGCTGGGTCTTCCAACATGACAATGATCCAAAACACACCGCCCGGGCAACAAAGGAGTGGCTCCGTAAGAAGCATTTGAAAGTCCTGGAGTGGCCTAGCCAGCCTCCAGACCTCAACCCCATAGAAAATCTGTGGCGGGAGTTGAAAGTCCGTGTTGCTCGGCGACAGCCCCAAAACATCACTGCTCTCGAGAAGATCTGCATGGAGGAATGGGCCAAAATACCAGCTACTGTGTGTGCAAACCTGGTAAAGACCTATAGTAAACGTTTGACCTCTGTTATTGCCAACAAAGGTTATGTTACAAAGTATTGAGTTGTATTTTTGTTATTGACCAAATACTTATTTTCCACCCTAATTTACGAATAAATTCTTTACAAATCCTACCATGTGGATTCATGGATTTTTTTTTTCACATTCTGTCTCTCACAGTTGAAGTGTACCTCTGGTGCAAATTACTGACCTCTGTCATCATTTTAAGTGGGGGAACTTGCACAATCGGTGGCTGACTAAATACTTTTTTGCCCCACTGTATGTTACACGTGCTGCGGGGAAAAGCCTGTTCTGACGTTTGAGTCTAAGGTTTATTTGGAGCACCGTGAACTCTCTCCACACTCTATCATGTCATTCTTGAAAGAGAGGTTTGCCGTGTTCGAGTCTGTAGTGGGGCCTCGTTAGTGCCATCATTTGCATAGTACAGTTTTCTGGTCCATGTCAGTCAGACTGTTCATAACCAAACCATGTCCATGCAACAGAGGTGACCACTCCTTTAAGGTCCTCCATTTGTTTGGACTGCTCCTTCTGTTTGAGCAAACTGGTTCTGCCTCGTCTTCACTGACCATGCTGGGATTTTCTCTGCCTGCATCCACCAAAGTGGATTTTGCGACACCACGAAACAAACGATTATATACGATTTTAATATAAAACCGATTTTAATTTCATCATCTGATATATTTCGTCATATCGCAAAGCCCTACATCTCAGCCTCTCTCTTCGCTCGAGTGTCCAGGACATGTGGTCGTAGATCTGATGATATGATTACACAATCGATCATCAGCCTGCATTGAGGTGAGCTGGACTATATCTAGCTGGTGCATCTCAATCTCATTCACTAGCTCAGGTCCTTTCCCACCAGAGAGGTGATGTTCCACGTCCCAGTTGCCATCCTCAGGAGCATTGATTGGTCTGGCTAGGCCGCTTGGCCAGCACCAAGTACATACTGCACCCAACCCCTACAACCCCTCCTATGCGTGGTGGGCCTAAAGGGGGATGGGCCCATGTCCCCCCTCGGGGCTGCGCCCAGCGAGGGCCCATGAGCTAAGGGCTGGCCACCAGGCACTGTGTCTTGGGCAGACTCTCCAGGTCTGCCTCCAGGCGGGGCCCTGGTAACACGCAAGAGTCTTCTGAATGGCTCTTTGTCTGTGCCATGGTAGACTCTACCAGTGGGCAAAAGCCCCCCAGCAACATAGCCCACAGGATCCCAGGGACACACAAACCCCCTCCACCATGATAAGGTAGAAATTTACATATTTCTTAAATCTAGCTTCAATCTAGCATTTCCACTTTAAATTAGATCAATCTATCTTTATTAATTCCATTCAGGATATGTCCTTCAATGTGCATACCAAACAACATCTCTAAAGTTAGAAATATCCTGTCTCAGAGTGATGCTGAAAAACTAGTTCACGCATTTATTACTTCCAGGCTGGACGACTGTAATTCATTATTATCAGGAAGTCCTAAAAGCTCCGTGAAAAGCCTTCAGCTGATCCAAAATGCTGCAGCAAGAGTCCTGACAGGGACTAGAAAGAGAGAGCAGATTTCTCCTGTATTGGCTTCCCTTCATTGGCTCCCTGTTAAATCCAGAATTCAAAATCCTGCTCCTCACATACAAGGTCTTAAATAATCAGGCCCCATCTTATCTTAATGACCTTGTAGTACCATATCACCCTATTAGAGCACTTCGCTCTCGCTCTGCAGGCCTACTTGTTGTTCCTAGAGTATTTAAAAGTAGAATGGGAGGCAGAGCCTTCAGTTTTCAGGCCCCTCTTCTGTGGAACCAGCTTCCAGTTTGGATTCAGGAGACAGACACTATCTCTACTTTTAAGATTAGGCTTCAAACTTAGGCTTCGAACCTTGTGGCTCATTCACCTGAAGCCCAGTACTCACCAGACATTTAGCTGCCATTTAAATAGTTAACATTCATCCAGCAGTCAGCCAACATCCAGCTGATGCATTTCAACCATTTAGTCAACATTAACTATACTCTCAACCAACATTCATCTACCACGAGCCTAATATTCACCTGACAGCTGGTGTTCACACATCAGTTAGCCAAAATTGAGCCAATGTTTTGCCTGCAGACATGTAGCGAGCTGACTGGTCTTCTTCTTCTTTTCTCTTCTTCTTTTGTCCTGTCTGTCCATCTGTCTGTATGCTGCTGTGTCCTGATGGCAGATCCCTTCGTACCGACAGCCATTCTGGGTGAGACACCTTTCCTCTGTTTCCTCTGTTTCCTCGATAGGCCAGATGTGCACAGGTAGACAGACAGGAAAGGGGCAGTCAGATGGTAGGAAGTGGACAGAGCTGAGGCCTAGAATAGAGAGACAGGTGAGAGGAGACGAGAGACAGAAGGACAGATATTCTGACTTCCATCCATCCCTGCTTGCTTCTCGTTCGGCTGCTTTTGGTTCTTTCCTCCTTTTGGAATCTTGTTTTTGTTATCTTGTTCCTTCATCTTTTACAAGTACAATTTTGTTTCAGATCATAACGTTCTCATTTATACTCTTCTTTCTGTCAATTTGTATGTTTTTTAGTTTAATTGATTAAAATAGAATTTTTATTTGCCTTTATATTAAATTAACATTTATTTTATTATTATTTTCCTTTCATAATGGATTAAATTTGTGCATTTATCTGTTTTGGTTTTGTTGTTTTTGAAACTTGATGGTGGGCTTCACTCCATCCCCGCATCCACAACATTCCTGCGTGTTGTGTTGACGTCACGTCTGTCTGTGACTTCCAACCTCTGCATGGGCACAACACGCCACGTGGACTGGGGGGAGGAAAACCAAAAGTTTATATTAATAAACTGATTATTTATTAATATATTATTATATGTGATGTGAACATTTACCCAGAGTCTGGCTGCAGCTGAGAAGAATCCTAATCCTTGGCTTCATTTTTATCAGTTATTTAAAATATCAGAGGCGTGGCAAGTGACAGATTTATTCAGTCTCAGTTATCTCATTGATAATCACTCATGCTATCAAGAATAACTAAACACAAATGCAATTACCACACCTCATGAGCACACGTTTTCTGTGGACGATCCATATCTTTGAGGACTTTCGCTTCTTCAGCTCTTCGGTGTTTTTAGTCTGAAAATATTGATACGCATGTTGTAGGCACGTCATTATTTCAGATCACAGAAATGAAAGCAGCCGAGCTCGGCTCACAGACCTTGTATACTTTATTCTTCCTCAGATTTAACCTGAGATTTGCTTGGCTCTTGGGAAACAAACGGTGGCTGTTTTACTGTAAACACTTTCCCAGGTGTATCTGGTAGTTAAAGAACACATGGAACACATATTCTCCAGCTCTGTTTGGGACATGTTGTGGGAACCTGTCAGAGAGTCTTTCTGTCCTTGAGCAGTGATTAGGGCTGTGGTCAAATTAAATCGATAGTATCTCTAAAGGATTTTGACTAGAAACAGGTGACGTTCTACCCAAACGCAGTGTTAGGGACAGGAACATCTACATGGGGAACAGTGGACCCGGCTCCAAGTTTCAGTGAAACTTCTGCACTTGATTCAGCTAAGCGTCCACAGAATAGAAGGCTATTAGTAAGCACTGTTTCATAAATTCCCCTTTTCTCCTCTCTCCTCAGGCTAGCTAATCGGTCTTCAGGCAAGGGATGCTGACGTTAGCCAAGGCTACCAGTCCTGCACTCAGGGTACAGTTAGCAAGGGTAGCTAGGTTACCCTAAATGCTAGCTGCTACCAATGCAAATAGAACTACTTCTAGCTGTTTGTTTGATTCATGCTGGCTGTTTGTTAGCAGAAGGTTAGCTTAAGAACAGGCTAAAGCTAAATTTGTTGCCTAAACTCTGTCTCCTCTGTCTTCTTCTTCTTTTCCATCTTTCTCTTTGTAAAGTGCCCATTAATGGTAAGTGGTTAAATTTGGGGCTAAAGGGTGGGCTCATGTTGGGGAGGGGTGTCTGTCACCACTGAGCATGGAGCCACACCCACCACCGCTGTGACATCATCAGTTAGCGTGGCAATGATGCTTTTTTTTACCGTCTGTGAGATTGTGACGCTACAACCCCCAGCTCCTCCCACCATGTAACCTTGAATCAATCAGCTTCTAGCTCTGCATCTCTTTATCTGATTGGTTCCCTTTTTTGTCATAGTGGTTGTTTTGTCCATTCAGTCACAACTCGCCACCTCCATTACATCACCCATCTTCTCGGCCTCACCATACCTGATTGGGCTTTAAATGACAGAGAGTTCCTGATTGGTCAGTCAGCCCCCAGACTAGCCAATAAAAACAGAGTTAGAGAGTATAGTGGAAGGTATGTCAGCCAAGTCTTTGCTGAAATGTTCACATCAGAGTCCTGGACGTTTCTGATTAGAAACCAGTTTACCAAAAAGGTTTGTTCATTTCCAGGACTCTGAACTTTCCTCTTTTCACACCGCAGCTCCAAGAACGTGGACCACCTCTAGACCAGTACTCAGACCATGCTGTACTGGATCTGAACCAGTACTCAGACCATGATGTACTGGATCCAGAACAGTACTTGATATTACAATTAACTGCAATGAACTATTGAAGAACTTGACATGGCAGCAGTGTGAAAAGAAACCAGCAACAATCACCATCCTCTCTCTAGTCATGTGATCTGATGTCATGTGATCTGTGTGTGTCATTCATTAGTGTTGCTGTTGGCTCCTTGGACAGATCAGTGGCATACTGAAGGAAAGTACAGACTCTGGACAGACTTTGTATGACTTCACTCTTTCAGGCCGTCCGTCAAATTCAGGCTCGATGAAATTGAATCACCAAGTTCACTCTTTTACTGTTTAACCCGGGCATTAGATTGGTGGCTGCCCACTGCTTCAATGAGTGAATGGGTTAAATGCAGAGAGGACTTTCCACACAGGGATCAATAAAGTATACGTTATTATTATTATTATTATTAACCAACACCTGAGCAGTTTTGTAATCTGAGGTTGTTTGTGTTACATCATGGCTTCACCCTGTAGTCTTCTAACAGTCCTGGTGGCTGGTTAAGATGTTTCTGCTGTGTTTAGTACATGAGGCTGAAAGAACAACAAGGAAAACATCTTCACCGTTTCTAACATTCAGGGAAAAAATGGACCAACACGAAAAGTGAAAACAGTCCTTCTGTTCAATGTTGCTTCTATTTAATCCAGTAAAGAAAAACTAAAACCAGTAAGTAACCAACTCATACCAATACATGATCTAACAGAACCAGTCTTTCCACTGATAATACACAGAGTCCAGGTTTCAGTGGCTGGATGTGTTCTGTAAGTCCGAGTTTTCACTGAGACTTGTTAGAGCAGCAGCTGAAGGTTAGAAGGTTTGACCAAACAAATTAAAGCGGTCTGTGCTTCATGAGGTCAGGACGCTGCGATTGATTGGCTGTAAACACAGAATCCCATTGGTTTGCCTGCTGACGATAAAGTTACTGATGAAAAACACAGAGACAGCGTGACTGTGAAAGGAAGTCTGCAGTTTCTGCTTCACTACAAGTTTTAAAAATCTATCAGCATTTTAGGATTACCTACCTCATATGCTAAGAAAGTTCTGAACTTGGATCAGTGGAAGCCAGGCTGCTTCTCTCAACTGTCAGATCAACAGTTCACATTTTTGCTGCAGATACTGTGATGTCCATTTCCCTGTGGTACAGAAGAGTCACTCTTATCTTCGCCTCATATCTTCTCCTGTTCAGCTCGATGTCAGCTTGTGAGCAGGAACTTTAATCCTTCTGGTTCATTTAAACTTTATATGCCACTCTGTAGCATTGATGGATTTAATGAGCAGATTCAATAGCAGATCTGTAAATGTGACCTTTGAAGGAATTTAGAAGATTTTTTAAAGGTATTTAAGTGAACATACAAAGTCTGTCCAAAATTAAGCTAAGCTTTAATCAGAACAATTCAAATGTAACCGATACAGAACTGAAAGTGAAATTTATCAAGTTCCATAATAAGAAACATTAGAACTGGAGCTAATGTCCTGGTTCTGCCTGGGTCGGTCTGGTCCATCCCAGCTTCATATTCATGTGTCTGTGCAGCCTAAATCTGATCTGTCCACCCTCTCCCGCCTCTCCTTCTATCCTCCCTCCAGATGACAGCCACACTATGACCAGTGAAACCAGTAGCCTGGTCCAGTCCCACTACAAGCAGCGGGACTCTGAAAGGGAGGCGCTGCCGTATCAGACAGGACAGCTGCACCCGGCCATCCGAGTGGCCGACCTGCTCCAGCACATCACCCAGATGAAATGTGCTGAGGGCTATGGTTTCAAGGAGGAATATGAGGTGAGGACAACACTCTGAGTTTCCTCTTCAGTTTGACAGTAAAAACACTTTTATCCAATCCACAGCTGTGGGGGAGGGGTCAGACAGAGGCAGGTGTGAATGCTGACAAAAGTCGACATAAAAAAAAGTGTTTGTTTACAAAGTGAAGCCCACAGTCCTGCATGCCTCCATCAGGACCCACACCTAGACCCCACACCTTCAGTTACACCCACACCATCAATAAGGCCAACACCATCAGAAAGATCAGGACCTGAGCTAGTGAATCTGAGCTAGGGCTGAGCTTGTTTTTTCAGCACAAAGAAACGGAGAAACACCACGACTCTCCGTCAGCCTCCACCTTCATTCGGTGGCAGTGTGTCTCAATGTCTGCTTCCATCATGGTTTCACTGAGCTGTGAAGTGCTTTTTCAATTCTAGTGGAAACATTCATCATGTTGGTTTGTCAGAATTTGTAGCTTCAAAGAAAAGTTCCAAACACTTCCACTAAAGATCCACAGCCCCAGTAAGACTCACACCATCAATTAGACCCACACCCCCAGTGAGACCATCAGTAAGACCCACAACGCAAGTGAGACCCACACCACCAGTGAGACCATTAGTTAGACCCACACCACCAGTGAGACCACCATTAAGACCCACACCATCAGTTAGACCCACACCACCAGTAAGACCACCATTAAGACCCACAACACAAGTGAGACCCACACCACCAGTGAGACCATCAGTTAGACCCACACCACCAGTGAGACCACCATTAAGACCCACACCATCAGTTAGACCCACATCACCAGTAAGACCACCATTAAGACCCACACCACCAGTAAGACCAAAACCATCAATTAGACCCACACTACCAGTAAGACCCACACCATCAATTAGACCCACATCACCAGTAAGACCACCATTAAGACCCACACCATCAATTAGACCCACACCATCAGTTAGACCCACACCATCAGTTAGACCCACACCACCAGTAAGACCACCATTAAGACCCACACCATCAGTTAGACCCACACCACCAGTAAGACCACCATCAGTAAGACCCACACCATCAGTAAGACCCACACCACCAGTAAGACCCACACCATCAATTAGACCCACACCACCAGTGAAGCCATCAGTAAGACCCACACCACCAGTAAGACCACCATTAAGACTCACACCATCAGTTAGACCCACACCACCAGTGAGACCACCAGTAAGACCCACACCATCATTTAGAATCACCACCAGCTGGGTTCTATCCTCCTGAGCTAACCCACAGTCACTTTGAGCAGTGACACTATATTTGGCTCCAGATTTTCTGCAGGCATCTCTGTGACAGTTGTTCTGTCTTTTGTCACATTAGATTCTAAAACATGATTTCACTGTTGTTCATTATTGCTTTATTAGCCTTTAGAACCAACCAATCAGAAGAGTGTGGTTAAACATGAAGGAGCAGAGTCAGTTCCACAAAATACTACTAACTAAAGAATCTCTCTAAACAATTAATCATTTATATCAAAAGTCTATTAATCTGTGAGCAGGCGGGTTAGTGAGTAATGAGGAGCATGAGGGCTGCGAGAGCAGGAGGAGGAGGAGCAATAACCAGGAGACGAAGACAGTAAATAAAATAAATAAATAATGTTCACTAACAGCACCAGTTTGGGACTTTCTGTTGTGAGCTGTGTGCGTGTGTGTGTGTGTGTGTGTGTGTGTGTGTGTGTGTGTGTGTG